CCACATATTTTGACTTGTCATAGCAGGAAAAGCATAGGTGAAGCAATTACAATAACAATAGCTGAATTAATTTTTGGTGTGATTGGGAGGTCACATTCACAATAGACATGAAAATTGCATTCGGTTTGAAATGCAAATTACATTTTCTGTGGCTTTTCTTTGACACAAAGGGACCAATGTTGTCTTCATGAAAAACATAAACACCCTCTCCCATCTCTTCCCATCTTCCCAGGCGAGTGTGTTCCAGGTGATCCGGAGACAGAGCCAACTACTCAGCCTCAGGTACACACCAGACATGACATGATGCATACTGAAGCCACAGATCTGTGTCTGTAATGAGAATGAGCATTCACCAGCTGTGTCTTGTGAATCTATCCTTCAGATTTCTGTTGCCAAGAGGTTGAAGAGAAAGGTGGTGCCAGCTGTGAACTCTGGCAATTTTTAACCACATGGACAAATGATTCGTTATTTAATGGTCACGTCACTATAAACTCTAGTGTTTACTGTTTGTATCAAATTTTCTTCAGAATTGTACGCTCACTCAGTCTCCCACGGGTCACATACGGTAGCCCATGGGAGCAGTAATGTACACCTGTAAACTAATACTTAAAAATACTACAGGGTCCTTTTTGTCCCCGTCTATGTATTCAAGGTGAGGATAAGGAGAAGTTAATATATATTAATAAATGTATGTTTACTGTAAGACTGCACAAGGTGAGAGGTCATGTGGACAAACTGAAGAGGAGGGTCATCACACAAACACTCACAAGACAATCACGTTGTCACATCTTCAATGGGAAAAACAACTGTTACTGTCACTGGTACTGGTTTCCTACAAATGCAGTGCAAATTGTATGAATATGTTTCTATATCATTGTTTCATTGTGATATTGCATTTTTCATATATATGAAATGTATTAATCTAAATTAATTTGTAATAAAATGATTCAGTGTTTATTTGAGTGCATTTGACTTTTCAGTGCTACAGCACATGAAGCCAATACTACCCTCGTACTGCAACGTTTGACTGAGCCTCACCTCATTTTCAAACATGTGTAGTAAGTTAAAGATAATCAAAGATAGAGAGAAAGGCAGGAATATGGAGTCCTAAGGGGCTGACATACCATTAAGGTTTCTTTTCATAATTAGTAATTTATTGCTTGTCTGGTACCTGTAGTAATTTCACTTCATCTCCCCATAAAGCTTCTGTCTATCTGCTGAATGAAGTGCTCGTATTTTCTGCTGTTTATTGTGACATAACATTATGTTGTTTTTCAGTGCCTTGCTTGCTTTCTAGATATAAGTAATAAATTAAAGTAGAATACTAAAATCAATTTATTATTTAGATTCATTGGTTAGTTAACATTCTTATACCAAATAATATCGGATGAAAAGCAATAGTCCAGGTTGGTGAAGAAAAGCATGTATGTTCTTAAATGCTTGTACATAAGAGTTTCCTGTAAGTCCTGTTCTCATATTTTATATCTCAGTCATAATTGAACCCACAGACATACACAAACCCACTAACTCACTTAGGGATCTTAGAAATAAGACATTTCTCCAGAACTTCCCTGGGAATCATCATGTTTTTCTACAGTGATTCAGTGACAGTTGTCTTTACATCCACAGGTACATTACAAGCAGGAACTGCTGATATCTAATTTGGCATGTTTTTAATGGTGCCAGTTTGTAAAAATGTGAACAATGTTTGGGGTTAAATAAAACAGGGCTCAAGTTGTAGCTCACAGCTTAACCCACTGACTCAATGGCAGCTTGGTACTTCTCGTTTACATCTCCCAAAGCATTATGGGAGCTGTAGTTCCAAAATGTAGAACAACTTGTAATGAGTGATGGCGCTATCATCATGAATCAGAACAAAGG